TTTAAAACTTTAACAGTTAGATTCTAATTATTGTACTATTAATCAAGTGTCTAATGATCAAATATCTTAAAATATAACGTAATCCGATACATTGAAAGAAATTTCATTTGGTCATGTAATTAACCTGACTTTTGGTATAATTTGGGATTGCTACTAATGGTGAATAAATGCCATTCTCCTTGTTTTTACGTCATGTGACAAAAATTGCCCATTGACATTAACAGCAGCCAAGTGCTCCTCTTTAAACTCCAATTGGTGTAATTAGGGATCCCAGCATTTAGATCCCAGCATTTACCTTTTAAGTAGAAAGTGAAAAATGATTGAATTGACTTAGATCCCAACTCCACAAACAACACAACTCACCAACTATCATAGACTTTTACTTTTTTTTTTAAATTTATTTAATCTTTTTGCGGTGTTCATTTAGACTTAATTAACGTCTAGGATCGATCTACTAAGAGTACATGGATAGAAATTGCCTTAAAAAACCGGTTTGTAAGAGAAAGGTGCCCAAAAGCTTTAAAACAACACTAGTATATTTTATTTTCTGATATGAGGACAATTGAGTCATAACATTACACAACACTTATGTACGCAATAACTCTTAAACGGATCAGTTGATCATTTAAAAAAGGGAACTTTAACGAAAAGCTCCCGATACTGTTCACTTTAACGAAAAACCACATTTTAACACTAAAAAGTCAATCCTTATACTATTCACTTTACCCTTTATTTTGTCCTTATCGTTAAAACTCAAAGTTTTCAAGCCATTTTCATTAGTTTTCCTTTTAAAAAATTGGCTTGTAAATAAAGAGTGTACAAATACTCTTAAACTACTATAACGTCCTAAAAATATCCATAAAAGGGGGAAAATGCTATATATACATTTTCGTGGACGTATCATTAAAACTAGTGCCGAGTGAGTTGGAGATATAAATCACAATATGATCAATAAATATGTTATAAATATGCTTCAATTATAGCAATAGTTGCTAAATTATGGTTTTGAAAATATTTCGTTCATGAATTTAAATATTAGTTTTATAGTCCCAAAATAAAATCTTGCTTTGTCCTCCATCGAACTTTTTCTACCAAACGTAGGGGTACAAATGAAGAATCAAACGTCCACTAGGCAAAAGGAATACACGTTTATATAAAAAATGAAATGTCCCTTTAATAATGATCAATATCAAATCTTAGATGCCTTAAAATTTTCCTAATTAAGTTCAGTGGTGTACAATTCATTTAGCAAAATGTGGTTTAATATCTCAATGAATCAAGTGTTGAGTTCTATTTATGCTTCTGAGTTTTAAACTTCTTATATCTTAAATTATTACAATAGTTTCAAATTTTCTTTATTCTGCTTAATAATAATTAAAAAAAAGAAATAAAAAAAAAGGTCCAATCAAAAAGCCGAACGAATCCAATGCTTAAAGTTGATCGCGCAACTTTTGCCAATTACCCTACACTATATAAACCCCTTCCCACCAACACCAAATATCCACGCCAAACGCAGTCGATTTGAAGAAAATAATTAAGCTTAATTATTTAAATTAAGCTTATTATTGTGCTTTATCATCATCTCTCAGAGACAAAGAGAAGAAGAAGAAGAAGAAATGGGAGGTAACACGTCACACTTTGAAGACTCGGATGAATCTCCACTTGAACACATGTCTCGCATCGTGGCCTTCCATTCCCAGGACCAATGGAACACCCACTTTGCTGCCGTCAAAGACAGCAATAAACTGGTAATTAATTATGTTTAACCCTTAAGAAGTTTGTAGGCTGTGTAATTCAATTGTTTAAGGACATCCATTTTTACGTTGAAAGTCTCAAGTTCAAATTCTCCATCGTAGGTACTAGCGTTTGTATAAACTCTATGATTAACTCTATTATACTCTACTCTGTTTATTTGAATGAAGTTGCTTAACTGATTAATTATTTTGTTTGGATGGTGATGGTGATGAACAGATGGTGATTGATTTCACGGCTAAATGGTGTGGACCTTGTAGAGCCATGGAACCAATCTTCAGAGAGTACGCTAATAAATTCACCGACGTTGAGTTCGTCAAGCTTGATGTCGACGAGCTATCGGTATACATATTTATGCATGAATACTTCTCATATTTTTCTTTAACTGTGTGTATATATTCCAATAAAAACTGTTATTTACATCTCAAAAAAGTTATCATGCGCTGATTCATTATAAAAATATAAAAATGGAATTCACAACCTGAAAAATGTAGGGGTGTGCTATCCACACACCTCTTTTTACTTCTCACACACCCCTTTCTGTCCTTTGATCTTCCTTAATTCATCCGATCCGATGACCGAAAATTAAAAGGATGTGAGAGAAGTAAAAAGGGATATGTGGATATCGCATCCCAAAATGTAATGACTATTTTTAAGTGTCAATAACATCTTCTTGAAATATGGATTTGACCCATGATTGAACATGACATATATATATATATATATATATTATATCAGAGATGTTGCCTTAATTACCAAGTGACCAAGGAATACATCGCTACTCACGCTTGAATTTGACACCAAAAATGGAGAATAAAAGAAAGTTTGTTTTTTTCTTTTTTTATCAACCCGTGATTTTAAATATAAATATGAGTGACCATGAATCCTCGATCACAGATGACAAAAAATGAGATTATTAAAATATATATTATATATATGGTGTATAACTGATAAATGTGAATGGATGGATGCAGGATGTGGCAGTGGAGTTTAGTGTGGAGGCAATGCCTTCATTTGTGTTCGTGAAGAATGGGGAGGTGGTTGATAAGGTCGTGGGGGCCAGGAAAGATGAACTGCAGAAGAAGATTGAGAAACACAGGAAATCATAATTAAGTCTCCAGAAGAAGATTGTGGAACACAAGAGATCATAGTTAAGTTTTAATTAGTAATCAATGGATTAATTAACTCATGCTGTGGTTTCTTGGATAGTACTTAGGTACTCACTTTTGAGTACTATATATACTCATTTTTTTTGTTTGGCCTAATCAAACACGTGTTTCTTGTTTTTTAAAAGTTATTGTGACACTATTTTTTAAAACAATAAAACATGTATTAAAATAACGTTAGGCCAAATCTAAAAAGTAAATATATAAAGTATTCACTAGTGAGTATCTAAGTATTATCCAATTAAAGCTCGATCAGGAATATATTATAATGACAACGTGATACCAACATGTGAGAGTGGAAGAAATAAAGCGAAAAGGAAAGAATATAGGAAAGCTGAATAAGGTGTACAGTGAATAATATTGATAATGTATTCTTTAATTTTCGTGATTGTCTATGATGTTTGTATTTCTCAAGTATTATTTCTCTTTTTGATAAATTGTAAGCTATGTATCAATAAATTTAGAGCAGTGTTATTCACACAGGTATTTTTACTTCTCACATGCCCCTCTTAATTTTTGGTCATCGAATCAAATGAATTGAAGAAAATCAATGGCCAAAGACTAACAAAGATGTGTGCAAGATAAAAATGTGTGTGTAAATATAATTGTCCTAAATTTAATGGATCACTTTGTATTGCTTTCTTTTGATTAATTGGCGTTGTAAAATTCTTTAAAAAAAAAAACATCGTAAACCTATTTTGTGGAATATTGCTACACTATAACGAAATATTCTTCATAAATTTTAAAAAGTTTTGTGTTAAATGGCAACATTTCACTATTTCACAAACAAATTAACAATCATGAGTAAAATGTGTTGGGTTTTGGTGAGCTCTTTTGTGTGTACATTAAGAACAAGGTTATAATACATTTGGAAATATCGTCATTAATTGAGTGACATAAGTATTTCCAACGGTCCTTTCGTCTGGGTCGTTGGATTTCCAACTGTAAAAAGTTTGCAGATTTTTCTACAGCTACCACATGGCAAGATTTGGGGCATCCAATAGTAATAGTTTTGAAAATCAATGAGAAGTCAAATTGGTCTTTGCTTCAGGCTTGGGTGTTACGCATGACGGAGAAATGAGATGAGTGTAACCCACGTCTATATTATTTTAATGTGTAAGGAGGGAGAATTCGAACTAAATTCGAAGATGTGGACACGCTGCACTAACTAGTTAGTGTAACCCACGTCTATAATTTTTTTCAAAATCCTCCACGGAAGAATTAAGTGTTGCCTTTTGAAAATATGAGAGGTTCTTGAAAGTTGTCCACCAATTTCTCGACGAATTGCCTCTATGGCATTGGACAGGGTAACTGCTAGCCCCATATGTCGTGTATGCGTTGCTATGGCATCTTTCCATAGACTCACTCAGCATATGTTGGCATTTGTGGACATGCTCACTCAAAAGCTATTGGCATCAGTTGACATGCTCACTCTATGTTGGCATATGTCGACATAAGTGCAATATAACTTGACAAATGACCTCAAATCTATCAAGACTCGATGAAATATCAATTTGCATACTATTCCATCCAAAAAATATTCGCACGCTGCTTGCACAACTTTTATTGATCCCTCAACAATTATTATTATTATTTTGAATCCACCACTTAGTGGGTTTATGTGCATTGCGCGGTGGTGCGCAACTTGGATGGAAGCAAAAATTTGGAACCACTGTAAAGTTCAAGAAAGAGATGCCCTTTTATTAGCCTCACTTAATTAATTAAATTAGCTTCCACATTATAGGAGCTCATGGATTTGGACTTTATTCACATAACTGTAATTATGTCACTACAACAAAAATAGGCACTGCACATAATAAATTATATGTGCCTTCGAGGCTAAAGAGCACCAACAAGTGTGCCCATAGAGCAGTAGCAATGATGCAGCAACTAAATTTGTATATGTACCCTCTATGGGCGTTACCATTGATTAGAGAGCACAATATGGCTATTGGTGCTCAACCCTTTGAGCACAGATAGGGGTATTTTTGTGCCCCTGTTCCAACACATGTGTCATGTGACATTTCAAATTCATGTTAGCACAATTTTTGTAATTGTACCCTATCAGTTAAATATAAGAGAAAAAGAAAAAAAAAATTAAAAATAACATCGTAACACATTACAACCTGAAACAAACATTTGAAAACACCAGATCGGAATAGAGGAAAATATTGCTCATAGTTTCTCTTCTTAACAGATCAGACTGAACCAAGTAATCAACATTATAAATTAAAGAAAAAAAACAAGGTAATGATTTCAAACGTATATTCTTCCTTTCAGCCACTCATCCTTCGGTGAAGGCATCTGTGCACCACGCACAGCTCCACGCGCCATTCCCTGCAGCTACACCAGGGGTTTTAGAATTCGTTCCCAAAACAAAATCATTTTCAGCGATTCAAAAGCCCAAAAAAAGTTACGAAGGTAAGGATTCAAAATATACCTTCCTCACGGCCATTCGGCGGCCGGTGATAGCCTAAAATCAGCCTGAAACTCGCGGGCCTCACCGGAAATCTGGGGAATTTCTCCCGAATTGAAACTGCATCCAACCTTAAACAAATTAGGCATCCAGTGCACGAAAACGTTTCTAAAAAACCTAGAGAACCTAACTAAGGTGTTTTCGAGACTCACCTATACTAGATTCGACGGAAAATCTCACCGGGGAAGTTAGGCCGCGACGGAGCTCGTCACTTCACCGCGTCGATTTTGGTTTCCAAAAAGCAAAAAGTAATGGGAGTCCGTGGTGACGAGAGGAATAAAGCTGGTGGTTGCCTCGCCAGAGAACGGCAGTTCCCCCACCGTCATTCCTTATGTGCTTCTGTCTGTCAAGGAAGAAGCCGAGAGGGGGGGGAGAGGAGAGGAGAGAGAGAGAGAGTGCCAGTGTGGTGTTTAGGTGGTGGCAAGGTTTACCGGAGTGGCGAATGAGGTGGAGATGGTGCTGCGATTTTCTGTGCAGTAAGCACAGAGATGGTGAGGGAAGGGTTGTGTGAAGGAGAGACGGAAGTGTTGTGTGAATGGGAGACGGAAGTGAAGGAGAGAAGGAAATGTTGTAGTGAAGAAGATAGTGATGCACGGGAAGGCGTGAAGACCCACGCGGGGTGTCAAAAATTAATTTTAAATAATTTAATGAGTGTAAAGGAACCAGATCAGTGGAATATGGTTTAAGGGCACAAAAACATATTTATTTATTTAAATATATTCAATTAGAGGGCCCCAAAAGCCCATATTGTGTGTTGTAAATTAATTAAAAAAATTCAAATGAGGGATGCGAGTTTGAGTGTGGGGGATGGGGATGGCAGAAAGAGAGTGGAAAATGAGGGGGTTTGCACGGGGAAGAGGGACTCACAAGTGGGTGGGTCCCACGGCAGACCACTCAAACATAAATAATACTAAAATAATTCAAGCGCACAAATCCATAATTGTGACAACATGTTTTTTTTTTCTGTATGGTAAGTGGAATGATTTATTATTTTTTACTATTTACTGGACACAAGTTTTAAAATTTGTGTCACAAAAAGGAAATTTATAATTATTAATATTCAATGGGCATTTATTTTCAAATTGTGTCATTTGAGTGCACCGCTCGATGATGTTGTTTAGAAAATGAAATAAATTTAAAGAAATGATTTCTACACACTTGTAAATAAAAATTGTCTATTAATTCATCTTTATTTTGTGGAATCGAAATGCCATATATAAACATGAATGTGCATTAATAAAAAAAAGTGTGTCAAAATCCGATTTCGCTAAATTATTCTTCGTCTGCAAACTACCATGGTGTTTATTTCTTCATCTACATACTGCCATTAATTATATGAGACTCTCGTCAATGCAGTTTTTAACGAAAGTAGGGTATGCGTGCAAAATTGCATGGACTTTCCTATTTGTTGAGCTACTTAACTTAGCAGTTCTTTAGGAGATATTCATTGTATTTGAAACATAGGTTCGTACACCGTATGTCATTATAAGTAGAGGGATACTTTAAAAATAAAACTTCTCTCTACTTAATAATGACTACCATCCAGTGTTTCGAGCACAACGAAAAATTATCATTCTTTAAGCCAAATTTTGAGAATGTATATTAGGAGTACAAGAATCTTGCTAAAATCATTGTGTCAATGGTTAATTTTACAAATTCTAAGGATTTGGTCAAATTCATGACCAATTGACCATTGACGAGATACAATCAACGATTTGAAAAAGAAGGGAATGAATTTGGATATGGTAAGTCTTTTCGATTTCTTCATTTTCCATTTTTGTTGAGCAAACATATTACAAAAAGTAATGACTTAAGTTTGTTGGCGTATTAGTAAAATACCCACATAAAACTCTGGCGCAATGATGACTGTTGATTTTTTTTTTTTTTAATTTTGTTGGCTTAGTTTTAAATAATTAAGAGTGTAAGGGAGTTGAGAATAGGGAAAAAGGTAAATGTAAAGGGCACAAAAACACATTTTTTTATTTAAATATATTCAATTAGAGGGCACAAAAGCCTTTATTGTATGTGACACACCCTGTCCCGAAGGAGGGCATGCTGGCCGTCACGTGAGAGTGACGTAACCATTTACACAGTTCGGAAGCTTTAAAAATACAATTACTAAGATGAAACACCCGAGGGTGAGTCCTACTTTTAGGAATTCTGTCAGAACACCGTTGGATTCCTCGTGGCCACCAAAGCTCTGCTATCTAGAACCTGGAGGGGCGCAAAACAAAATTGAGTGGGTCAGTAAAACAAAGTTTTTCGAAAACCTTTCATTTAAAACATATCTAACCCCTCGCTGTAAAACATGTATACTTCCCCAGAAAAATAGTATATAAACATATATATATATATCATCAAAAGCTCAAATTACAATCCTTCAACGCTTTTCAGAAAGAATATGCCATGCCATATGCCAAAATATAATATGAAAGCATCAATATAAATCGGGTGAAATAATAAATCAACCGGAGACCCTACAGTGGTCCTGTACGGCTGATTCTATAGCTCAATATCCCATCCAGCCGGAGTCACCAACTGTGACCTGTACGGCCCTGCCGGAGTCACCAACTGTGACTTGTACGGCACTACACTGCACGTAAGTCGGAACTATCTATAGTAGTCTGTACGACTAAGATGGTGAAATAATACGCTCTAGTGCTTCTCATCAACCATCGGCGCGCATAATCTAAGGTCACCTACCAGTCGGAATCCCTCTAATGGTCTGTACGACTGGCATGTTGGAACCACCTCTAGTGGTCTGTACGACATCCACCTACTTGGATCCAAGGCAAGCGTGCGGTGTGGTGAATAATATAAGCACTAACACCATGATTGCAGGTTATGAGCTATCAACATAATATACATCATCAATGATTCACATGAATAACATAAAACTATCCTGATACTTACATGTGCGTCCACAGCACCAATTCACATATATATATATATATATATATATACACATATATTCATCAATATCAATTCATATAATTATAATCTGCATCATGGCAATTGAAAACATACTTTCATATAAATTCAATTTTCTGGGGCAATTAATAGTATATAGGTAATACGAAGAAAAAAAAACAAAAAATGCCCACTCACCTGGAGTTCGCCCTACAACTCCCTAGCACAATACATCAAGGCGTCATGACGATCGGCGCCTAAAACAATAATCAAATCCAACCTCAGAAATCATATCGATAGAATATATAACTTATATAAAACACGTCACTACGCAGTTCGATCCGGAAGATCTGCAACTCAGATTTCAAATCCATAACTTCCAGAGGTCCACAATATACCTCTAGGACAACATCCTAAAATTTCATTACCATCCAACGGTCGGATCTCCGTCAATTTCCAAAACCAAGTGACGGTTAACATTCTATTTTATGAACTTACAACTCCAATTCCGGAAGATCCGTAACTCGGATTCCCAATCCGTAAGTTCCTATAATCCTCAAATATTACGTATTACAATGTATCAAAGTTTAGTGATGATCCAATGGTCGGATCGTCAATTCACATTTTCACCTAACCACGAATCGTAACCAACTTAGGTTCAATTACTCAATTTACGTCCATCAATTATCAAAACTGAACCTAGAACCTTAAACACATGCTAAGAATGACATTGGCGGGCTATTGGCCACGCGCCGCCGCGGTGAATACTATATAAACGTTATTTAAAGCATATAACCAACAATTCTCAATAACTTCTCATACGGTGTTCAATTTGGGTATATGAATATACCACAATGACCTACTCGACGTCACGGACGTCGACAAATTTTTAAAATAATTTTTGGGCTTGTCACGCGCCAAGAAGGGCACGGGTTCACTCGCCCCCACGCGCGTCTCCTACCTTGGTTCGCCGGACTGGTTCGCCGGTTTCTGGGCAGTTTTTCAAATCGCTATAACTTTGACATTTCTTCACCATTTTCAACGTTCTTTATATCAAAATGAAGATCTTGACGAGATGAACACATCCATACCTGCCTCGACCCCCAACTCGCCGGGGATTCACTGGAAAAAGCCTCGAAAGTCGTCGGACTCGTCGGAAAATGGGTAAGTTTCAAATGAGTATAACTTCTTTAATACTCAACGAAATTGGGTGAAAAAAACTAAAGTTGTAGTTCTCGAAGAGACGAAGAGAATGGTACCTCGCATGACGTCTAACTCTTCGTGGTTTGGCCGGAAAAAGCCTCGAAAGGCACGGGTCAAACTTGAACTTTTCGATCTCGATATTCTTACGTCCAAAAACCTCCAACGAACTACCCCAAGCCTCATAAGGACCTCACGAAGCTTCCTACAAGCTTGAAAACTCCTAAAAATCAACCAATACAAAGTTGATGAATAGTGTCAAACTCGGTGCTTGTGATTTCGACGTGAAAACGTTGAAGTTCTTACCTGAAATGGGTATGGATGAACTCGTATCAACGAGATGAAGACGATAGTGGTCTTTGTTTCCTCGATCTGTAAATATTTGAAGGTCAATGGGTGTCGTCCGTACGAGTTGCAGAGAGAGAGAAAAGCTGAGAGAGAAGAGAGAGAGGGTGCGGGGAAGGAGAGAGAGAAGAGGGTGGTTTGTGTGGGTGTGTACGTGTCCCGTATGTGATCCATCCAAATCAAACCATAACCCAACTTTCTTTAAGTCTCTAGTTCACTTAGGTCCAACTTTAGTAAAATCATCCAAAAATCAACTTAATTAAGTCACACATACACACAACCCCACTTGACGACCAAGGGTAATTTCGTAACTTCACGTCCTCGGAAATGAAATTCCGGAACGGGCTGTGACAGTATGTGTGTAAATTAATAAAAAAAAATCTCTCTCTAACATTTAAAAGGACATTTCAAATTTTTGTAGGCACAATTACATGACACAAATTAATGTGCTTATTTGTTAGAGGGCATATTTGAGATACTTTGGTGCTCAATGGAACTTAAAAAGCACAAATATGTTTTTGTGCTCAATGAAAATGCAAAGGGCACATATCAATTGTGTTCTTAGCCCATTTTTGTTGTAGTGTGTGTAAATGTCTTGTTCTAAAGTTGTTCCGGCAAAATTCTATTATGTTATGAAGTATATTATATTTTAAAAACTTTAACCGTTAGATTCTAATCATTGTACTATTAATCAATAATCTAATGATTAAATATTTTAAAATATAACGTAATCCGAGACCTAGAAGGAAATTTCATTTGGTCATGTAATTAACCTGACTTTTGGTATAGTGTGGGATTGCTACTAATGGTGAATATATGCCCTTCTCTTTGTTTTTTCGTCGTGTGACAAAACTTGCCCATTGACAATAACAGCAGCCAAGTGCTCCTCTTTACACACTAATTAGTGTAATTAGGGATCCCAGCAATTTACCTTTTTAAGTAGAAAGTGAAAAATGATTGAATTGACTTTAGATCCGAACTCCACAAACAACACCACTCACCAACAATCTTAGACTTTTACTTTTTTATTTTATTTTTATATTTGATCTTTATGCGGTGTTCATTTTGACTTAATTAACGTTTAGGATCGATCTACTAAGAGTATATGAATAGAACCTGCCTTAAAAAACCGGTTTGTAAGAGAAAGGTGCCCAAAAGCTTTAAAACAACACTACGATATATTATTTTCCGATATGAGGACAATTGAGTTATAACATTACACAGCACTTCCGTACACAATAACTCCTAAACGGATCAATTGATCATTAAAAAATTGGCATGTAAAGAAAGAGTGCAAATACTCTAAAACTACTATAACGTCCTAAAATATCCATAAAAGGGGGAAAATTCTATATATACCTTTTCGTGGACGTATCATTAAAACTAGTGCCGATTCAGTTGGAGATATAAATCACAATATGGTCATTAAATATGTTATAAATACGCTTTAATTATAGCAATAGTTGCTAAATTATGGTTTTGAAAATATTTCGTTCATGAATTTGAATATTAGTTTTTATAGCCCCCCAAATAAAATCTTGCTTTGTCCTCCGTCGTACTTTTTCTACCAAATGTAGGGGTAATGATCAACATCAAATCTTAAATGCCTTAAAAATTTTCTAATTAAGTTCAGTTATGTACAATTCATTTAGCAAAATGTGATCCAATATCCCAGTAAATCAAGTATTGAGTTCTACTCATATGTTCCGGGTTTGAAACTTCTTATTTCTTATATTATTACAATAGTTTAGAACTTTCTCCATTTAGCTGAATAATAAAAAAAAAAAAAGGTCCAATCAAAGAGGCGAACGAATCTGATGATTGAAGTTGATCGCGCAACTTTTGCCGGTTGCCCTACACTATATAACCCCTTCCCACCAACACCAAATATCCACGCCAAACGCAATCGATCTGAAGAAAATAGTTGAGCTTAATTATTTAAATTAAGCTTATTATTGTGTTTTATCATCATCTCTCGTAGACAAAGAGAGGAAAGAAGAAGAAGAAGAAAAAGAAATGGGAGGTAACATGTCACACATTGAAGACTCGGATGAATCTCCACGTGAACACCAGTCTCGCATCGTGGCCTGCCATTCCAAGGAACAATGGAACACCCACTTTGATGCCGTCCAAGACAGCAATAAACTGGTAATTAATTATGTTTAATCCCTTAAGAAGTTTGTCGGATGTGTAATTCAATTGTTTAAGGACATCCATTTTTACGTTGAAAGTCTCGAGTTTAAATTCTTAATTCCTACAGTACTATCGTTTGTATAAAAGGAAAGCCATGGAGCCAACTGATTAATATATAATATATCAACTCTATTATACTCTACTCTGTTTATTTTAATGAAGTTGCTTAACCGATTAATTATTTTGTTTGGATGGTGATGATGATGGTGATGGTGATTGAATTCACGGCTACGTGGTGTGGACCTTGTAGAGCCATGGAGCCAATCCTCAGAGAGTACGCTGATAAATTCACCGATGTTGAGTTTGTCAAACTTGATGTCGACGAGTTTCCGGTATATATATATATATATATATATATATATATATATATATATATATATATATATATATATATATATATATACTTCTCATATTTTTCTTTAACTTATGTATATGTTCCAATGAAAGCTGTTATTTACACTTCAAAAAAGTTATCATGAGCTGATTCCTTGTAAAAATATAAAGATGGAATTTACAAGCTAGAAAATATAATGACTTTTTTGAAGTATCAATAACATCTTCTTGAAATATGGATTTGACCCATGACTGAACATGGCATATATGTGTGTGTGTGTCAGAGATGTTGTCTTAATTACCAAGTGAGAAAGGAATACATCGTCACTCATCCTTGAATTTGATATCAAAAGTATAGAATAAAAGAATTTGTTTTTTTTATCAACCCATGATCCTTGATCAGGTGACAAAAAATGAGATTATTAAAATATATATATTATATAAGGTATATAATTGTGGATGGATGCAGGGTGAAGCAATGCAGTTTAGTGTGCAGGAAATGCCTTCATTTGTATTCTTGAAGGGAGTGGAGGTGGTTGATAAGCTCGTGGGGGCCAGGAAAGATGAACTGCAGAAGAAGATTGAGAATCACAGGAACTGTGATTATAATGTCTGTTTCTAAAGTTGTTCGGCAAAAATTCTATTATGTTCTCTAGTATATTATATTTTAAAAACTTTAACAGTTAGATTCTAATCATTATACTATTAATCAAGAATCTAATGATCAAATATCTTAAAATATAACGTAATCCGATGCAAAGAAAGAAATTTCATTTGATCATGTAATTAACCTGACTTTTGGTATAGTTTGGGATTGCTACTAATGGTGAATGTATGCCATTCTCTTTGTTTTTACGTCATGTGACAAAACTTGCCCATTGACATTAATGTGGAGCCAAAAATAATCACAAGGCGACACGTGAATTTTTGTGTAAAAGAGGACCAAACTACCCTTAAGGTATACCGGGATTTCTACACGCGAGCAGCAAACAATCGTCCTTTAACAAAGTCAAAAATGCTCCAAAGAGAGGTAACCAATTCAAGATCTATCTTATCAAATCTCTTTTTGCAAGGTAACCTCCAAAATAGTGTTAATTGGTTAATTAATGGATTAATTACCCAATTAATCCATTAATTACCAATTAAATTATACAAAATAACCCCAAAAACTATCAAAGGGCCGGCCACCATTCCCATCCTCACCTTTCCCATTTACTCTATTTTATTACCCAAATTAAAATAGACATTTATTTTTATAACCACCCATTTATGCCCTTCATATTTAATTAGCCAATAAATTGGCTAATTAAATGAAAAAATTGAACCCAAAGAACCCTTGAGTGGCCGGCCATCTCTTCTCAAAATTGGGCAAAGCCTAACCCTATAAATAGGCACCCATTCTCACCAAAAAGTCAGGCTAACACTCTTGCAAAAATCTCAAAATTCTCTAAACAATCTTTTTCTCTAAATTTTAACTTTAGCATCGGAGGTTCTTCGGTCAAAGCCCTCCCATTCATCGTGGGAGCGTGAGGCTTGTAGACATAACTAAATGTGTTATTTATTTTGTAGGTGCAATTTTGTCCAAGATCAAAGAGGAAGAAATTTGCATCCACAATTAACAGGAGCCAAGTGCTCCTCTTTACACTCTAATTGGTGTAATTAGGGATCCCAGCATTTACCTTTTAAGTAGAAAGTGAAAAATGATTGAATTGACTTTAGATCCCAACTCCACATACAACACCACTCACCAACTATCGTAGACTTTTACCTTTTTTATTTATTTAATCTTTTTACGGTGTTCATTTTGACTTAATTAATATCTAGATTTATCTGCTAGGAGTATATGGATAAAACTTGCCTTAAAAGAGAAGGGTGCCCAAAAGCTTTAGAACAACACTAGTGTGTATTATTTTCCGATATGAGGACAATCGAGTCGTAACATTACACGGCACTTCCGTACACAATAACTCCTAAACGGGTCAATTGATCATTTAAAAAATTAGCTTGTAAAGAAAGAGTGCAAATACTCTTAATTACCATAACGTCCTAAAAATATCCATAAAAGAGGGAAAATGCTATATATACCTTTTCGTATCATTAAAACTAGTGCCGACTCAGTTGGAGATATAAATCACAATTTTGTCAATAAATATGTTATAAATACGCTTTAATTATAGCAATAGTTGCTAAATTATGGTTTTGAAAATATTTTCGTCCATGAATCTGAATATTAGTTTTATACTCCCTAAATAAAATCTTGCTTTGTTCTCCGTCGAACTTTTTCTACCAAACATAGGGGTACGAATGAAGAATCAAACGACCACTAGGCAAAAGGAATACAAGTTTATATAAAAAATGAAATGTCCTTTTAATAATGATCAATATCAAATCTTAGATGCCTTAAAATTTTCCTAATTAAGAACGCGGTGTGCAATCCATTTAGCAAAATGTGGTCAAATATCTTAGTGAATTAGGTGTTGAGTTCTACTCATGCGTTTCGGGTTTGAAACTTCTTATCTCTTAAATTATTACAACAGTTTCGAACTTTCTTCATTCTGCTTAATAATAATAATAATAATAATAATAAATAATAATAATAATAATAATAAAGTAATAAAAAAAAATGGTCCAATCAAAGAGGTGAACAAATCCGATGCTTGAAGTTGATCTCGCAACTTTTGCCAATTGCCCTACACTATATAAACCCCTTCCCACCAACACCAAATATCCACGCCAAACGCAGTCGATCTGAAGAAAATAGTTGAGCTTAATTACTTAAATTAAGCTTATTATTGTGTTTTATCATCATCTCTCATAGACAAAGAGAAGAAGAAGAAATGGGAGGTAACACGTCACACATTGAAGACTCGGATGAATCTCCAAGTGAACACAAGTCTCGCATCGTGGCCTTCCATTCCAAGGACCAATGGAACACCCACTTTGCTGCCGTCAGAGATAGCAATAAACTGGTAATTAATTATGTTTAAGCCCTTAGGCTGTGTAATTCAATTGTTTAAGGACAACCATTTTTATGTTGAAAGTCTTGAGTTCAAATTCTCCATCCCTACAATACTATCGTTTGTATAAAAGAAAAGCCATGGAGCCTACTGATTAATATATGATATATCAACTCTATTATACTCTCACTAGTAAAAAAAACACTTTGCGCGACGTACGTACATTCGTCGCGCAAAGTCAAAAATTGTTGCGCAAGGGTTTGCACGACGTAATCTTCGTCGCGCACTAACCGTCGCGCCAAGGCAGTGACGCTAAGGTTTGAGCGACGAAGATGCGTCGTGCAAAGTGACTTTGCACGACGCACGGCCTACGTCGTGCAAAGGCACTTTGCGCGACGTGCGTTCTACGTCGTGCAAATATACTTTGTGCGACGCACATCCTAAGACATGCGTCACGCAAACCCTTTTTTTTTATTTAGTGAAAAATATATTTGTTTTAATTTTTGATAAACATTGTAATTAAATTCTAAAGAATAATGAATTAACCAAGCAAAAGTATTTAATTGTAAAATATATGAAAATGTACATACTATTAAAAAAAAACAATTTGCGCAACGAAGAATTAGGTTGCGTCGCACAAAGCTCTGCGTATGAAAATGTACATACAAGATGTCCGAACAAAAATAGAAAAAACTACAATAACTATCTTCTAGGTTTGATACATCAAGCTACTGGGTATCGACTGGGCGAAGTGGCTGGGAGGTCAAGGGTGGAGCAAGATCAAGTGCTGACATCAGGATTTGAAGACCGGACATCAGGATTTTGCTTCACAGTCTTCATAGTTAGCCTGCTCAGCTCCAAGGCATCAAGTAACTGCAGGAAATTGTGAAGATCAAATATCCTACTCAACAGTGCTTATTCTATGAAAAAAAAGATAACTACTTTTTCCATCAGTGCTCCACCAATCAACATTATGCAAATTTTTCAAATAATCTTTTATAGATGGTGAAAAGAAATCCACTGCACTCTTCAATTATTCATTCATAATTGTGGATGGTAAACGTCTAAAAGAAAATTTTGCTACGACAGCATGTAATCCTCTATAGTTTGGTTTCCAAAAACAATACCGCAGAATCGGATACCTATTTCTGCTTTCAAAAACAACCCGGGAGGTATTCGTGCAAATAATCCTACTACAATGTTATATTTTTAAGAAAATTACCTGTGAAAGTCTGTTGCCCAATAGCACAATAGAAGACACCTCACTAGCAACTCCAACACCACCACCCATGGCAATTCCAACATGCGATGAAGCCAATGCTGCAGCATCAATTCCATCACCAACCATTGCTACGACGTTCTGATCCTTCTGAAGTTCCATTATGAACTTCTTTTTCATCGGTTTAACACCAGATATCACCTGCAACAAACATCATAGGCTATGGTTCCCAAAATTAATTTCCATGGTAAGCAAAATAGTCAATCCATCTTCTGGGGTCATTTTAGAGTTCGGCAAACAATCAAGAGTATTTAGAATTGGTCCATGAACCAATAATCTGTTAATTGAGATCCCTAAATTTAACAAAATATGCGCCCTTGGTTGCCTTCAATATACCTTCAATTCCTTAACACCAAATGAGCCCTAAAAGTTTTCTAAGATTCTACATATCTTTAATGAATCTCTAGGATTTTCTTTTAAAGTCGTTTTGATGCCAAAAACCTTTAGAAAATAAGGCTCACTTTTGTAAGCCAAAGTCAAATTGGAGTGAAAGAAATAAGCATCTGTTGAAGTACCCCTAGATCTTCTTAGTCTATCTAAGCTGCTTCTGTTTTCTACAAATTGTGCTACTTATAGAACTTCATTTTAGTGCTCCTGTAAGTCGAATCTGTCAAGCATTACTTCTCCATGTACATTGTTATTTATATCCTAAATAGTTCATCATGATCATAGACAGCACTCTATGTTGTCCTATATGAATCTAAATTTTCAATAATAGGATTCTAAATTCCCTTAACAATGGTCCAAGGCCAATGCCTATCAGCATTACACCTTTACAAGAAGCAAATTCACATTCAAATATGCAATGATACAAACTATTATATTCCATTATACCCTGTAATTACCTTTGAACCCATTCCAAAGTCCCAACAGAAACCCTAGTAAGATCAGGTGCTGGGTCAATTTTTTTTAGGGTAATTAACATAACACTAAGTATTACGATGACTGAACAGCAACACTGCTATATAGAGAAGTCCAATACAAGACATAAGTTTTTTTTTTCTTTTTGTTTCAGAAATCAAGCGATAGATAATTCCTTCTCTTTGAGATTTCAAGTGATGCATATGAATTAAATTGATCAACGCAAACTAAAGATTCATTGAACAATCACATCTGCTATTACCTTAAATCTTTCATCTTTTCAAACTTGCACAATTGAAGGAAATTTCATATTTCTGTGCCCTGTGTGTGTAAGACAGAGAAAGAGAGGGAGAGAGGGAGAGAGAGAGTACCGTGAGATGAAGTCGAAGTTGGAAGAGTAGCGAAGGGTTTCTGCACATCAGCCAGAGAAATGGCGAAAAAGAGTTGCAGATCGGCGAAGGAGATGGCGAATATGTGTGATTTAGGTTTCAATTTTTGTAAGAAAAATGATTATAAAGGGTAACACGCTACCAAAACCCACAGGTAAGAAACTCACAGATGGAGCTATCAAAAAACAAGACAAAACCGACCCACATGAAAAAATCAAATCTAATGGTAATTATCTCATTCAACCCACATCAATCTGAGTCCCAAAAACCTTAATTTCATAACCATAACAGCGAAACCAGCACGAAACGACTGATATCAAATCAAAACGACAGCAACCATATCCAGAAACAAAAAAATCTAATCAGCAATTACCATCAATCTAATTAGACCGTATACTTACATGAACTAAATCGAGCGGCGGTCGGAGAAACTGATGGGCGATTGGGCGGGAAAGCCTTGTGCGAGCTGAGCTGAGAAGGAGAGTCGGCTGGAGTGGAGGAGGATTAAGGTTTGGGTTGGGAAGAGAGAGAGGATGAGGAGGAAGGCTACGGGAAGAGAGAGACCAAGTGAGAGAGAGGGCGAGATGAGCGAGGGACAGTTCGGGTCTCGGAAATATTTGTCCAGGAAAATTTTAAAAAGAGCGCTTAATTTTTAAAATTGCAGCGCCAAAATTATCGCAACTGGCGCGACGCAGGTATGCATTTCGACGTCGCGCAACGTCTTTTTGCGCGACAACCACATTGTGGCGTCGCGCAAAGTATTTTTTTTTTTTTAAATATTTCAAAATTTACTGAAAATGTGATTTTACTCTTTTCAAATTCATTTTTTTTAACATAAAACCTACAATAATATATTTTTCTAACAAAAACCCGACCCAAAATACAATAATAATTAAATTTAAAGCTACTTAGTAAATATACATACCATTCAATTTCTTAAGTGTTATACGTACAAAATAAATAAATTTAAATCTACTTAATAAATATATATACCATTAAACTTGATGGGATACCACAAAATCTTATGTTATACTTAATGAAAGTATAAATAAACTCTAAGTGTTAGGGAATCTATCGTTTTGATTGGATACGCATTCTACGAAACTAATTTCAACGATCCAACTGTCAAACTTGTTTGTATATACTTCAAGATTGCATACGCCAAAAATTGCAAAAAACAACATTCAGAGATCAAGTAACGGGACAAAACTTTTCGACGGTTATAAACAAAATATCACGATTTAACTGTTATTTTAACTTCGATTTTGATGATTTTTTATAACTACACTCCTTGACCCTATATGAATACAACGAACTAATTCGATCTTCAATTTAATATATTTACACAAGTGGATACCACAAAATCTTATGTTATACTTGATAAAAGTATAAATAAACTGTAAATGTTAGTGAATCTATCGTTTTGATGGGATACGCATACTATAAAACTAATTTCAACGATCCAACCGTCAAACTTGTTTGTATATACTTCGAGATTGTATACGCCAAAAATCACATAAAACAAACATTCAGAGGTCAAGTAACGGGACAAAACTTTTCGACAGTTATAAACGAAAAATCATAATTTAACGGTTATTTTAACTCTGATTTTGATGATTTTTTACAACTACACTCCTTGACTCTATATGAATACAATGAACTAATTCGATATGCGATTTAATATATTTACACTAGTAGATGAAAGTATAAATAAACTCTAAATGTTAGGGAATCTATCGTTTTGATGAGATACGCATTGTACGAAACTAATTTCAACAATCCAACCGTCAAACTTGTTTGTATATACTTTGAAATCGTATATACCAAAAATCACAAAAAACGAACATTCAGATATCAAGTAACGGGACAAACCTTTTCGACGGCTATAAACGAAAAATCACAATTTAACGGTTGTTTTAACTCTGATTTTGATGAGCTTTTACAGCTACACTCTTTAACCCTATATGAATACAATGAACTAATTCGATCGTCAATTTAAAACATTTACACTAGTGGATACCATAAAATCTTATGTTATAGTTGATGAAAGTATTAATAAATTCCAAGTGTTAGTGAATTTATCGTTTTGATGGGAAACGCATTGTACGAAACTAGTTTGAATGATCCAATCGTCAAACTTGTTTGTATATGCTTCGAGATCGCATACGCCAAAAATCGCAATAAAAAAACATTCAGAGATCAAGTAACGGGACAAAACTTTTCGACGGTTATAAACAAAAAATCACGATTTAACGGTTATATTAACTCCGCTTTTGATGATTTTTTTACAGCTACACTCTTTAACCCTATATGAATACAATAAACTAATTTTATCATCAATTAAAAACATTTACACAAGTGGATACCACAAAAGAAAAAGGCAATGCAAGAACCCAAAAAAAAAAGAAAAAAAAAAGCCATTGCGCGACGTAGGTACTTCTGCGTCGCGCAAAACGGCTTTGCGCAAAAAAAAAAAGAAAAAAAAAGATTTTGATGGGAAACGCTATATGAATGAAAATGTACTTAGTAAATACATATACCATTGATTTTGATGGGAAACGCTATATGAATACAATGAACCAATTCGATCATCAATTTAAAACATATACACAAGTGGATACCACAAAAAAAGAGGCAATGCAAGAACCAAAAAAAAAAAAAGAAAAAAAAAAGATTTTGCGCGACGTATGTACCGATGGGTCGTGCAAAGTCTTTTGTTTTTTTTTGGTCCTTTTGATTATAATTAGAAAATAAATAAATGAAAATGTACTTAGTAAATACATATCCCATTGATTTTGATGGGAAATGCATTGTACGAAACTAGTTTGAACGATTAAACCGTCAAACTTGTTTATATATATTTCGAGATCGTATACCCCAAAAATCGCAAAAAAGAAACATTCAGAGATCAAGTAATGGGACAAAACTTTTCGACGGTTATAAATGAAAAATCATGATTTAACGGTTATTTTAACTCCGATTTTGATGATTTTTTTACAGCTACACTTGTTAACCCTATATAAATACAATAAACTAATTCGATCGTCAATTTAAAATATTTACACAAGTGGATACAACAAAAGAAAAAGGCAATGCAAGAACCCAAAAAAAAAAAAAAAAGACTTTGCGCGACGTAGGTACACGTACGTCGCGCAAAGCTGTTTTGAGCGACGCCAATATTCGTCGCGCAAAAGAAAAAGGCAATGCAAGAACCAAAAAAAAAAAAGACTTTGCGCGACGTAGGTGCACGCACGTCGCGCAAAGCTGTTTTGAGCGACGCCAATGTCGTGCAAGGTCTGTGTCACGCAAAGATTTTTTGCGCGACGCCAACCTTCGTCGCGCAAAGGCCATTTGCGCGACGAAATTTGCTCCGTCGCGCAAACATGTTTTTCTACTAGTCTACTCTGTTTATTTTAATGAAGTTGCTTAACTGATTAATTATTTTGTTTGGATGGTGATGGTGATGGTGATGAACAAATGATGACTGATTTCACGGCTAAATGATGTGGTCCTTGTAGAGCCATGGAGCCAATTTTCAGAGAGTACGCTGATAAATTCACCGACATTGAGTTCGTCAAGCTTGATGTCGACGAGCTACCGGTATATATACATACACACACACACACACACACACACACATATATACATATACATATATATATATATATATGCATGAATACTTCTCATATTTTTTTTTAACTTTATATATATATATATATATATATATATATATATATATATTCCAATGAAAGCTGTTATTTATACCTTAAAAAAGTTATCATGTGTTGATTCTTTGTAAAAATATAAAGTTGGAATTCACAAGCCGGAAAGTATAATGATTTTTTTTAAGTATCAATAACATCTTGAAATATGGATTTGACCGATGACTAAATATGACACACACACACATATATATATATATGTATACCAAGTGACCAAGGAATACATCGCCACTCACCTTTGAATTTGATATCAAAAGTGGAGAATAAAAAAACATATTTTTTATCAACCCGTGATTTTAAATAGAAATATGAGTGACCATGAATTCTTGATCATAGGTGACAAAAAATGAGACTATTAAAATATATATTATATATGGTATATAATTGATAAATGTGAATGGATGGATGCAGGATGTGTCAATGGAGTTTAGTGTGCAGGCAATGCCTTCATTTGTATTCGTGAAGAAAGGGGAGGTGGTTGATAAGATCGTGGGGGCCAGGAAAGATGAACTGCAGAAGAAGATTGAGAAACACAGGAGATCATAATTAAGTTTCCAGAAGAAGATTGAGGAACACAAGAGATCATAATTAAGTTTTAATTAGTAATCAATGGATTAATTAACTGATGCTGTGGTTTCCTGGATAGTACTTAAATACTCACTTATGAGTTCCATATATACTCATTTTTTGATTTGGCCTAATTAAAAGATGACACGTGTTTCTTGTTTTCTAAATGTTATTATGACACTATTTTTTAAAACAATAAAACATGTATTAAAATAACATTTGGCCAAATCTAAAAAGTAAATATATAAAGTATTCACTAGTGATTACCTAAGTATTATCCAATTAAAGCTCAATCAGGAATATATTATAATGACAACATGATGCCAACGTGTGAGGGTGGAGAAATAAAGCGAAAAGGAAAGAATATAGGAAAGCTGAATAAGGTGTAGAGTGAATACGATTGATCATGTACACTTTAATTTTCGTGATTATCTATGATGTTTGTATTTCTCAAGTGTTATTTCACTATTTTTGATAAATTGTAAGCTATGTATCAATAAATTTAAAGTAGTGTTATTAACACAATTATTTTTACTTCTCACATACCCCTCTCATTTTTTGGTTATCGGATTGAATGAATTGAAGAAGATCAATAGTCAAAGACTAACGAAGATGTGTGGGAGGTAAAAATAGGTGTGTAAATATTATTATCCTAAATTTAATGGATCACTTTGTATTGCTTTCTTTTGATTAATTGGCTTTGTAAAATTCTTTAAAAAAAAAAACATCGTAAACCTATTTTATGGAATATTGCTACACTATAACGAAATATTCTTCATAAATTTTTAAAAGTTTTGCGTAAAATGGCAACATTTCACTATTTCGCAAACAAGTTGACAATCGTGAGTAAAATGTGTTGAGTTTTGGCGAGAACTTTTGTTTATACAATGTTATAATACATTTGGAAATATCGTCATCAATTGAGTGACATGAGTATTTTCAACGGTGCTTTCGTCTAGGTCGTTTGATTTCCAACTGTAAAAGTTTGCAGATTTTTCTACTGCTATCACATAGCAAGATCTGGGGCATCCAATAGTAATAGTTTTGAAAATCAATGAGAAGTCAAATTGGTCTCTGCTTCAAGCTTGGGTGTTACTTATGACCCGATCATGGAAAATGAGATCAGTGTGCAACACATGTGGAATAAGATTCATGCACAATTTATCGAGCAAATTCAAGGCACATCCCCGCCAGAGTGAGCAATCTATATTGAGTAGGTACAGACATTCACATAAAGATTTGAAAGCTTGGCATGAAGCCATTGCTAAAGCAGAAGGAATTTATCGAAGTGATGCTAATCTAGCCAACCAAGTAATAACATTTTATTGTTAAGTCATGT